TACAGAAGACACTGAATCTTGCACAGGGAAAGACTCTTCGCAATTAAGTAACAATTTTTCTGGGATCCAAGCAGCTGTTAAAAGCTTTTCTGAGGCCACACCCCATGCAGTAGATTCATAATGCTTCTTCACCAACAAGGGAGGTAGGACAGAGAATTCACATCTCTTCTACTTTGCAGCAGGTACAATGCTTGTACCTGCAAGACTCAGCACCCTGGTGTGTTCAGCTTTCCACCTGCCTCATGACAGACTGCAGCTAACCTTTCCACACTTCAGGTAGCTGGTACATGTATCAGAGTATACACGTCCTTGGGCAGATCATCCCCAGGCAGTCAATGCTGTTCAGAGAGCTATTACAATAGGAGGAAACAGTTACCTTACTTTAAACAGGCAAGTTACAGGGAAAGCAAAGCATAATTAATATAAAATTACTCTTAAAACACTAACTTGGTTCCAAATATTTTTACTGCTGATAAGAAAACTTGCTGATACAGAATATTAGTTCCTTTAAACAGAGGGAGGGATTGCCATCATACTAAAAGCTGCAGATAACTGGGGCTCCTATCTCCAAAACCTTTTCAGAAACGGAAGAACCATCCACCAGCAAATTGCATTCAAAGCATTTCCCCATCCTTCCTTCTCAGGAGCTTTTTGTAGGGCCTTGTCCAATGAATCTCCTGTCTGCAGCAGAAGTTGTGTTCTGAATTCTCTGGAACAGGAATTTATCTTGTCTGCTACATGGACTACAGACAGCAAGCTATTTTTCAGACCACAGTGTACAGTCAGCACATGGATGCTCATGTTACCAGCAGCAGACACCCTGTGGTGGGGGCTCAACAACAGCTCCTGGTCTCTGCAACAGGAGGAAATCAAACATAACATCACCACTTGGCTTTTCCAGTTTCATTAAAAGCCGAAGGTAAGCTACCAGAATTTGATCGGGGTGGTTTACTTAAAATAACCTTGGAAAAGGCATTCACTTCCCACCCATGCAACAGAATTACCAGTGTTCTCAGTGACAAATTCCTTTTGTAAAGATACAAAAACTGAAGAGTTTTGGAAAGGAGTCCTTGAAAGGAGGTAGCCAAAAGGGAGCTCTGAATACAATCTTCAAATGAGACTTTTATTTACAGAAATTATTGGTAAGCATTTCTTAATGAGATACCTCTACTTTCACCTAGCACAAAAGAATCGTGACTGACTTTGTCTGATTTAGCAGCTCTCTCTTGTACCTGTGCTGGTCTGTGCTGATTTCATAGGAGGGAAAAAAAGAAATCCTTTAAAAAAAATTAAAGCGTCTTTATAACATCCTGTCTGAAAATCTGCTACCAACACAATGGACTAGAGTTCAATTTGAGCCAGTCAGTGCACAGAAAGACCAAGTAACACCGGGAGAAAAAGCATACAGTGAAAAGTCAGTTTAATGAAATCATGTGTGACAAATTATGGCAATTATCATAACTGGAATTCCTAAAACTAGAGAAGATTATGGGAAACACGGTAAATTTTGAAATATGCAGCATGTTTTTAGAAAGTAAATAATCCATTTTCTACACTCACTGGGAGAGCAAGAGACCAGTTGAACTGCAGAAGGGGACATATTAGGAACAGTCATCTAATGGCAGTAATGCCCAAGCAATACCATCAATTGATACTTCAGAGAACAGAAAGGAGCCATTATAAAGTTGGAGGGTTTTAATTCCTGCAGATTTCTAAGAATCTGGCCACCTCCCACCCTAGTTCTAGTGCAGGATGGCTCAGGACTCATTTATTTAGATAATTTCCTGTCCTGTCTTCTCTAAAGCAATGCATCATGCATGGGAAACTGGACTACAGAAAGATGATGTAATGATAACATTCTCTTACCTTAATATTTGTATTTCCTGTGGGTGTTATATTTTCATTCTATGGATAAGAGGCTTACTTCAGGTTTCAGTGACATCACCATTCTAGCAACATTTTCATAAAATCATAGAGCACACTCAGTTGGAAGGGACCCATCAGGATCATCAAGTCTAGATCCTGGCCCTGCACAGGGCACCCTAATAATCCCACTCTATGGGATTATGGACTAAGAGCATTGTCCAAATGCTTCTTCAACTCAGACTTGGTGCAGTGACCACTGTCCTGAGGAGCCTGCTCCAGTTCTAAAATCACCCTCTGGGTGAAAAACTTCCTGATATCCAAGCTAAACCTCCCCTGACTCAGATTCACGCTGTTTCCTCAAGCTCTGTCATTGGTAATGAGAGTGTAGAGACTGGTACCTGCCCATCATGAGGAGGTTGAAGACTGCATTGGGCTCTCCCCTCAGTCTCTCCTTCTCCAGGCTGAACAAACCAAGTGCCCTCAGCAGTTCATGCAGCAGTTCTTCATGTGGCTTCCCCTCTAGACCCTTCCCCATACTTGCAGCCCTTCTTTGGACACTCACTATTAGCTTAATGTCTTTTTTAAACTGTGGTGCCCAAAACTGCCCCCAGAATTCAAGGTGAGACTGCCCCAGTGCAGAGCAGAGAGACACAATCCCCTCCTTCACCTGGCTGTGCCAAATGTCACACCAGGACATAGCTGGTACTCCTGGGTTACCAGAGTACACTGTTGAATTATCAGCAAGAATGTTCAACTTTACTACATTCTTCTGTATTTTCTTTCCACTTGGAAATCTGAAAGGCTGTGCCTGTGTGGATCAGCAGCCACACAGGCTATACAGGAATTGTCAACACCACACAAAAGCTAACAAGAGGCCAAAGGAGAAGGATAGAGCAGGAGCATGATTAAGGGGAAGAGTGCTGTAAGGCAGCAGAGCTAAATAGCAGCTGCTCAGTACAGGAAATACAACACAGGGCTCAGGGTGTTTTGTTTGCTTACTTGCTGACACAGGTTTTAATGTAATTCCCATGTACCTTTTGATATGACAGTCTTACATAGATCTTTTGAGACACATAGGCATTTATCTGGTTTTGCCTGTCGCTGGTTTACTAAGGCTGAAAGCAGAGAGCTAAGTCAGGGTTTTGCTTTGGCCTAACTTATCTTACTGGGCAGAGCCTGAACTAAACCCACTGCCAATTCTGTTGGGATGCACAGCAACACAATTTTGTTGGGATGCACAGCAACATTTCTACCTTCACTATAAACATTTATGCAAAGCTTCTAGCTAAAAATAAAATCTGCATCAGTAAACAGTTGCCAGATTTTTTAGAAATCTGTAGGTGATTGTGTGCCACCAAACCCCAAAGCAAGCATTCTTATTCCATTTTTCTGAATCTTCATGTACCATCAATTGTATTTTAGGTAAAACACTTCAAAGAGAGATTCAGCATGGACACCATAGAAAATGTGGGACCTAGGAACCAGGAAATAATGCCTGTTTTCCTAGTAGGCCCTGCTGGCCAAGACACTTTATTAATTTTCCTTATGAACAAGGTGCTGACAAGAAACAGCTTTATGGTGCAAGGGTGTTTCAAAAGAGTAGTTTGAATCTGAGTATCTCAACTATGTAAAAAGATCCCAGATCCAAAATGCAGATCACTTACTTAGAAGTCCCCAGACCTTGTGATGCAGAAACGATTGTGTGGTGGGTACTAAGGAACCTGCCACGTTCCGGTTGAAGCATGGCAAGAGTAGGGGGTGCAGCAATAGGTCTGTTCATCAGTAAAAAGCTCCGTAACTCTAAGGAGGGAAAAAGAAAACCAAAATGCAAGAAGGCAGGAGTGGACAATCCAGAGAGAACAAGATGCAGTGGCACAGCTTATCATTAGCCCTTTTCAATTGCCAGAAAAGTTATCACAGATGTTCCTTCAACTGGCTATCAGGGAAAGTAAAAGCACCCTCTGTCCCAAGAGCATCAGTCTTCAGTGATGGTTAACAACAAAAAACAGGGGAAGATTTGTTCTTGACTGCCGGTGAAAAGTTTGTTTCATTAAAATAGGGGAAATAAAGACTTTTTGCTATTTGAATACTCAGTTTCTAAGTTGATTTTGTGCTATAACCTGGGTTTCTGCTTTCAGCTCATGCTACATCAAATGCTTCTTCCCCTTTCATTTTCTTTTAGGTGATGCATTTTAGATCCTTAACCTAAAAAGGAGCAAGCATGAAAGTCAGAAACTATCTATCAGCAAACTATTTATAAAGAAAATAGAACGATTTGGAGAATTTATAGTGAAAGTGACCTGGTGACTACCGAATTCCAACCTTGCTAGACAAGAACATAGCATATGTTTCAATAAGAAAATAAAACAACTTTCACATAAAAGGCTCAAATGATTAAAAAACACACAAAACAAAAAAAAAAGAGTGAGTTATGGTTACAGTTGGTGTACTTCAGAATTTCACACAGAAAAACACATTCTTCCTTTTATTTGTGGTGGAACAGAATACAATAACCTTTAGCCCAAACTACTCAAGGCTGGCAGTATTACCTTTTTCTTCATGCTGCAAGACTTCAGTAAATGGAATGGGGACAGGAAGGGTTAGAAGTTAAATTTTCTATTTAAGGCCATTAATTCAGCAAGATATTTTAAAATGTCCTCAACTTTAAGCATGAAAAGTTGCATTGACTTCAGTAAGATTATTCACATACAGTTAAGTCAGGCAAGTGCTTAAATGGCTTGTTGAATCAAGCCATTACATGAGAGCTGCTTTATTATACAGATTTATTTTAATGGCTGGCAGAGCTCATTACAAGAGCCTATTTTATTCTTCCAAGGGCTAACAGCTGTTTTGTCATTACCTTTTCTGAAGGTGTAATTTGTATGCCTCCTGCATTTTACTGTAGCCACAAAAACAACATTTTCTAAGAAAAATTGTATGCAACATCTATTATATATAGTGGCTTAGCTCTCCCTTAAATAGTAACAGAAAAGAACAGTACAAAACAATAATTTCACTTTTTCAACACACAAGAGCATCTTATTGAAAAGCTAAAATAAAAAAGTCTCACCACAATACAAATCCCCAAAAAATAATAATGAAATGGGAAGAAAAAAGGAGTCAGCAAAACGTCCTGCAGACTTTAAAGTTTCTTATTATCACATTAAAAAAGCTTTTCTGGTGAAACACAATGTTTTCTTTCTTTCTGTTTACAAACCCACTAGACAGCAAACAATGATGTCCACATCCACAACCTATGTTGGGATTAAAAGGTAAAAACATAATCTGCCCCATCTGCAGTACAAAAAAAAAAAGAACCCAAAAGGGCAGCCAGTGAGCATAGGAGCTGATGAGAACCAGGTTTCCCTGCATAAAGGAGAGTAGGGGTTATAAAAGCAGAATTCAAGTTGGAACCGTGTTGAAAAGTTCTATCTTGGAGACCTGCAAGACATGAACTACTGAAGAAACAGCCAAAAGGTCCCAATGAAAAGCTGTGACAAGCTGTAATGTGCCATTTTAATTACAAGGAAGAGGGAAAATGGTTGGGGGTGGTTGCATTTTGTGTTTTTATTGTTTTGGGGTTGGATTTTTTTTTTTTTTTTTTTTTTTGCTCATCAATATGATGAGCCTTCAACGTCCCAAACCACATTCAGGTAGCTTCCAAGTCTGCTTTTTTTTTTGTGTGTGTGTGGAATCTACTGATCCAGACCAAAAACCCAAACAAACAGAACAGAGATGCACAGTTCTTAAGTCTTGGAGCTTTCAACACCGCCTGAAGTAATTGCTGGCCTGGGGTATCCAGAGACGCCTGCAAGATGGTGTTCATAGCAGCCTTGCAAGCAGATTGGCTCACATCTGCTATGTGCTGCCAGTGTTCTGCCCATCACCTTCATCATTAGGACCTGAAACAATAAAAGTAGTTCTTGATCATCAGAAATACCTTTTTTTTCTTGCCTTGCCGTAAGAGACCTATACCAAGCAGCCTACATAAGTCTCAGATTCAGGTGTTCAGTGAGAGATGAGAACTGTACAATTCCTCCACCCCCACCTTGCATATGCCTTCTCCATGCATATCTTCTTCAACTGTAGAATTTTATATTCTTAACTAATCTGGCTCAAGAATCCCTGCAGCATCCCAAAACCTAAAAGCTCAGTTTCCAACCTCTTCAACCTTCCCACTGCTTTTGTTCATATTCATTCCTCTTTTTTTCCCCTTCTGTGAATCAGGATGGAGGACTGTCAAAGGCTGGACATTCTCAGCCACACGAAAGCAAAGCACAGGTGACTTCCAAGTTGAGAGTACAAAAGGAAGCCTTCCTCAAACTGAAGACTAGTATTTTTCTTGAATTATGGTCTCCTCATGCACAAAAAAGAAACATTACACTCCTTCCATACCCCTTTGTAAACCCGTTTGCTTTCCAAACAGCTCACCACTGAAAGGTCAGTCTGCATGCTGTCTACTGATCTTGAGTCATCTCAGGTTTTATGTGCAACTCTTGGCCATGATGAAGGCAAAAATGAAACTCAGAACCACCCTAAGAAATCCTATATATGATAAAAAGCACAGAAAACCTCTGCTAAACTGTGGCATGTAACTCAGAGGCAGCACAGGGGCCTTTTACCAGTTTGGAGAAGAAGCAAGAAGTAGCTGCATTCAAAAAGGAAATCTTTGCAATAGTCCTACTCCATAGACATACACAAAGAGTACAGTCTGCATTAAGAAATGACACAGAAAAATGCATGGAACACAGGAAACACCTTTGTTTCTTACTTACCACTTCCAACTGATCCTGAAGGTGCAATGACATCATCATCACTGTCTTCCTCATTTGACTGTGTTACCTCTGGCTCAGGTGCTACATTCTTGACTTCTTGCTCTTGTTCCACTCTACTGCGCAAGGCCAAGATCCGATGGTGCAATGCAGCATATAACTGCCCTGTATCTTTAGAGCTTGCCTGCATTTTTAAATATTCAGAAATAAGAAAAAGGTGCATGGAATTGTAACACAATAAAACACTGCTGACATAATGGATTAATGACATAATGACACCAGTTATGCCAAATTTCACAATATACTTTTTCTCAAAGTGTTTTTCAAACCAGTCAGAATGGCCTGTGGTACACACAGCAAGACATTAGATATACAGAACTCTAGTGGTGAGAGTATGTTCCTCTGCTTAGCTCCGACTTTCTCTGGTTAACATACCCAGTAGTTGCTGATCTCATACAGCCTTCTTCACAAAGAAATCACACATCTTTCCTGACACCACCCGAAAGCTCATATTAAAAAGACCTTCAATTAAAATCTTGCAGATTTTTGCTGGCTTGTCAATAATTCAACTTCACACATTAGTTAATTGTTGTCAAGCCAATTGTTTCATGAAGCACTGTCATAAAATGTCAATATGAGATACAATGAGAAAACTCAATGGACAGTCAGGCAGGCAAACATTCCAGGTTTTTTTTGAAGAATCTCTGTTTCAGAGGGAAGCATTTTTGACAACCTGTCGAATTCTTTCATAAAAAATAGTTTCCATCCACCGCATCTGACATTTGAATCTTTCACCTCTGTATCTGCAAAATTCCCCTGCAATGAACTATAATGAAAAAATAATTCCAAACAAGATACTTTGTATCAATACTAAAATCAAGAGTGAATAACCTGATGACAGATTAACTCAAAACTTTCAAATCTAGAAAAATATGGAGAAAAACCAATCCAATAATTTCACTTATTTTTCTTCATCAATGTATATTTGGTATCATTAAGTTCCACTGTGGGACTCCAGATCCCAGCCCTACAAACCTAACGCCACAGGGAAAGCTGACCATTTGTTGATGCTCTCAATTTCTGATCCCCAGGAACACTAATTCTTTTGCAACATCTTGTGTAGAACCAGCGTAAATCAAAAGAATGTGTTCAGATGTCTCCAAATCTGTAAGCACTTTAGGGAATGAACAATCTTTCTTGCTGACTGTATGATTAGAACCCGAGTGTTTTAGTAATTCTGACTGGGATGGCTGTTCCACATTTAGCAAGCACAGAAATCGCTTTCACTATCCTGTTACTGCTATAATACTCTGCATCAAAAGAAAATCAAAGTTAAAATGTGTAACCCCTAAGTACTAATATGATGGTTTTGACAGTATTAGTGTTTCCTTTCCAGTGGACACCTATCCATCCTCCCGCACGGCAGACAATGAGAGGCTTCCTGTGGTGAAAGTTCCAGTAATTTTGGTTAAACTACTGCATAAAATCTATGAAACAATGCCCATTTTTCTTAAATCAGAAAACAATCTACATTAAACACTATAGCTAGAGTCTCAATATGTGTGGAAAAGATCCCATGACTCCATGGGCAATGCTTTGGACAACCTGGCTTCCTAGGGCAGCTTTTGATGTAGCATTTGCTCACAACTAGCCAGCAAGACTTTTTAGACAAGCAAATCTTCCAAGTGCCTTGTCTTTGGGGCAGGGGTGATGCAAAGACAGTGTAGGGTGCAAAGAAAAATGGGAATGCTACTTCAACTACAGTTTAAGTAAGCACCAACTTCAGTAGGACGGTTAAGACATAAACAAAAAACAGTACTCACTGATATAAGAAAAACTTTAACTCCTTGGTCCTCTGTATCCATGGCGGTGATCCGGATACTCTTCTCACTGGCTTTATCAATCTGCATCTGAGCCCAGAGCTTGGTATTTAAGATTAACCTGAGACTCCCCTGAGTCCTCATCACTAAAGCCAAGTTACAAGATCAGTTAGGTAGAAAAAGACACATCAAGAAGCTCAAAATAGTCAAGACACTTTTTATTGTACAAAGGTTTCAGTCTTTCTACAAATAAGCCCTCTTGGGCTTTTGTCACAACTGTAAATGAGAAGAATGTAGCCTTGTGCTGGTTTTGGCTGAGGTAGAGTTAACTTTCTTCCCCATCACTGGTATGAAGCTGTGTTTTGGGTTTATGCTGAACATACAGTTGATAATATAGAGGTGTTTTTGTTATTGCTGAGCAGTGCTTGCACAGAGCCAAGGCCTTTTCTGCTCCTTTCACACTACCTTCATACTACTACAGTGATGAGGAAGATGGGAGTATGTGGGAGGTTAGGGGCAGACACAGGTGGGACAGGTGACCCAAACTGACCAAAGGGATATTCCAGACCATATAACACCATGCTCAGGACATAAAGCAGAGGTAAAAAGAGGAAGGGAGGATATTTGGAGTGATGACATTTGTCCTCTCAAATCACCATTACGTGTGATGGGATCCTGCTGTCCTGGAGATGGATGAACACCTGCTTGCCCATAGGAAGCAGTAAATTAATTTCTAGTTTTGCTTTGTTTGCATGCACCAATTTTGCTTTCTTTATTGAACTGTCTTTATCTTAACCCACGAGTCTTCTAACTTTTATACGCTTCCAATTCTCTCCCTGATCCTGCTGGGAGAAGCTGGAAGGGGCTTGGTTGCAGTCTGGGCTTAAAGCACAAGGCTATTGAAGATTATAAGTGACATCAAAAGCTATTTAGTTTGAAGCCTTATATGCTAATACATTAAAGTTCAGCAGTTGTATCTGAGCAGATAATCTCAGGCTAATGCACATTCTTGACAGCCTGAACAATCACGCGCTATTCAAACAGACTCCCTCCACACCCATTTGGATGGGGACAAGCAACCCATCCAAAACAGACAGATCTGAATGATATTACCATCAATTTCTAGGCAAATATTCTAGTTACTAAACATGGCTTTCTTTTATGGGGGGACAAAGTAAACAGAACATCTGCCGCAACAGAAGGGTATGAAGATACTCTCTTTGGAGGCAATATTCACAAACTGAAGCAAAAGAAAAAAAGTCCAAACTGCTTCTGAGCTGCTGGAGCTAAGACAAACTAAAGTGAATGTTGCTGTGGTGTCAAGGAAGAACCTTATAAAAATAGCATGACTGTCATCCAGTATCTCATTTCCCCTGCTTCCCCTTACCCAGTCGAGACTGTAATGTTCCATCATCTGTTGAGGCCATATCATTGAGTCTCAGGAGCCCTCGACCTCTTTCCACCCAAGACTGAGAGCTTTTATCAAATACAAACAGCTTGCACTGAATCTGTAATAGAAAATACATTACAGAAAATATCTCTGTGGCATAGTGGTTGATTAAGTAATCATATATTTCTTAGTCACCTACAGCTGGTTAAAAAAATATTCAGATTTCATACTGAAATTTTAAATTGTTTATAGCTGTGGAAACCAAAACAGTCATCCTCTCTTTTGCAATAAATTTCTCAAAATATGCTGTCTGTTTTCATCAGGTTTTATTAAAAGAAGCTATATATTCTTACAGAATAAGAGGGTTCATGATCAAAACAACAAGTAATTTTCAGGTAAGATAGAAACTTTCACAGAGGTAACTTAATTTCTTAAGAGACTGCTTTTTATCAGCCAGTTCTTTTAAAAGCCTTAGGTATACATTGCACAACTGAAGATGGTATTTGCTGCTGGGAAGCCCCAGCAAATATGACAGCAAAGCAAAATTCTTCCTGTAACGAAGCAAAGGATGAACAAACATGTTAGCTCATTATCAATTCATTACCAAAGCCTGAACCATACGAAGTCATTAATAAGTGAGGTATTTTTACTGCCTCCTTGCAGGGTTAATAGGTTATAAAATTCAAATAGCGTATGTATTTTTTCGAACAGTAGGAATACTCCTCTTTGACTTACAAGCTCACTTTTTCTTCCATGCCAAACATCTCTACTCTGTATTGCCCTCTCTAATCCAACTTCACTGTTACTCCTGAGGTTTTATACTTCAAATCATCACCCCTCAACTTCCCCACAGATGAACGTGCACTAAGTGGAAAAGATACTTCCATTTTCATTCATTCCACTTCTCACTTTCTTCACCCCAAAACATCTAGCTCTGTGTGTTTCTGCAACATTAACATAGTTCTGTCTGTACAAGTCCCATTTGGAATTTTAATGCATTACATTTCATAAGAAAAAAAGAATTAAAGTTAGGCAAGAGGTCTGTTAAATTACAACATATTCATGCAAGTCAGTCCTCTATTAAATATACAAACAATTGCCAAAAGTTGTGGTTTTCAGAACTAAAACAGGATTCTTATCTCTTCAGTGTCTTGTTCAATTATGTGAAGCATCCAGACATTTCTGAATTACACAGAAACAGAAATGTACCAGAAGAACCACTTAAAGGTTGTTTATGTCTGGTAAAACCAAGTCCAAGAAGATAAACATTATAGAATATAATTTTGTAAGGTAATAAAAGTATAACTGATAGGCATTAGATACTGATAGTACAACTGTTTGGTGTTAGAATAGAGCATCATGTCTGTAAGAATAAAAAAGCTACCCTTGAAAATAACACTGTTCAAATGCTGAGAAACAAAATATCTCAAGAAAAAAGACAAGCTATAATTGGAAGATAGAGATGGGAAAAAACACATATACCACTTTATTTTATATGAAAACCCTGCATATTTTTCTTAAGGATATACTGGAGTTAGTAAGTATATTTAAGTTAATGAATAACTACAATGCTAAATATATCATGATTAAAATTAGGAGTCTAGGTCATGACCAAATATCATTCTACAACATCACTAATTCAATTAAGTACCTCAAGCCAAATTCCTGAGTGTTTGTGATATAGTTTCTGTTTTGCAAGAAACTAGACTGCTGGCACAAATAGTCCATTCCAAGCTTTAGAAAATCTTCAGTAGTACAACAATTAAAGAACTTAAAAACATTTAGTTCATTTAAATTTTCTTCAAATAATTGTCTCATAGAAAATAAAAGCTTCTATGTGATGGATTCAGGAAAGAATCCTTATAAGCCATCCAGGTGTATCCTTAAGACGCTGAAATTTATTCAGAAAGAGGAAATTAAAAAAGAATGGACAACAAGTTAATAAATAAGGATCTGATATAAATATCAGAAGTCTGCATTTTAACACAAAAAAATACATTAGAGACATAGAGGAAGGCTGAGTTGTAGGGAATCAGATGGTGTGCATTCACTGGACATCCATATAAATCCCCACAAACTCAAAACTCCTCTATCGGTTTCTTACCTGTAACACATTACTTTCAGCTTCCTCCCCAGTAATCACTTCTACCTTCGCTAATAAACACTTCCTTGCAGTTGCTTTAGTATAGGCTGCTGCAGACTCTGCCAGTGATTCTGAAATATTATTAGCTGAACAACATTTTGAGAGTCTGAGAATGATTAGCATGAAATTTTATACGATGTATAAAGGTCTCACACAAGTACACACCATGATTTTGAGACCTTCTGAAAAGTATAAAAGACAGACCTTAAAATAGAACATGTAAAAAAGAACTAAAATTTAAAGCTGAAGCTAAAGCTTGTCTTTTAATACTTGTTTTACAAGCATAAGGGACAAAAGAGGTAAGTTCTCAAGAAGTTTTGTCCCTACACACAATAGTTCAAAACCTTTGCATAGACATTTGCTTATCTGTAGATATTCCAGCAGTACTGATACTCTTGCCAGTCATACAGCTGTGCCTATGCATGGACAGTGCAATTAGTTTTCCAGTTTCATTTGGCCTTGCAAGCAGCTTAATGAAGAAAATCCATAGTTCCCAGAATTTCCATAGTATCTTGACAATTTGAAGTCACAGAATCCAGCAAACAGTTCTGAGCTCAAGCAACATGTGGGGCACCCACTCAATGCAATACACATTTGACTCAGAAATTCAGTCACTTAAACAAAAGTTTGCCACATTTCTCCTATGTTCTCTTCCAAGTCTTAGTACCAGTTCTGTTAATTCCCTCTAATTTTATTCTGTTGAAGATATTACCAGAGAATGACAAGAAAAAAGACAGTGCAGCCTGTACATGTTTAATATTAGAGGATCTAGCATTAATATTAGAGGCATCTAGCAACTTCCACACCCAGCCTGTATCTCTGGTTACAGTAGACAGTAAAGGCAACATAAAAATTTTACGCTTTTGAAAAGTAACAGGATATTGAAAAACACAGTAATTTAAAAAGGGATTAACTACCATTACTAATATTTTGTTTTTCACCTTTTTCTGGTGTGGCCTCCTGAGAAGACGATTCAGACCCAGACTCTGTAGAAGCATTCTCCTTATTACTCTCTGTACTACCTTCATTTGATTTTGGTGGACTCTATCACAGAAATAAGAGGAGGTAAACAGAAAAGAAAAAACGTACACTAATTCTGCTAAACAAGACTAGTGATCAAGTACTGAGGGCAACTCCAGTATTTATAAGCCATACAGCAAAAAAAAAAAAAATAATCTCATGGACAACATGTTCTCACAGTCAAAGTTATGCTACTACCTCAGCCAAGGAACTAAATGGAGTGTGACCTAAAAACCAGTTCAAATTATTTTCCCTTGAACTGATACAAAATTTCAATCCTAATTTTGAGGCTATTTAATTTGCTTTGTTCAACACAGCAAGTAAATTTCAACTACCGCTACTCATGGCGTAATTGAGTGAATTCCTGCTTTGTAGTTAAGACAGGTCTGAACACTCAGCATTAAATGTTTCCATTTGTTTCAGCACAGGAATAAAAACAACAGCTGGAAACACTGAGGTACTAAAAGTTATTCCTTATGTTAGAATCTGAGGCACAGTGTGCCCTTATCTCCGATGCCTAGCTCTAACATCCAAGAAAACACTGAATTTCATACAACACCATGAAAACAATTGTTAAACAGAAAAACTGTAAGTGTGTAAATTGAAGAGTTTTCTTAAGTCACTGAGTGAAAAAGTTGAAGTTTAGAGTATAAGCTAGTTTCGAGAACAGAACACAAGATAGAGGATTTAAGGTGTTGTCTCTTTTCCTTCTTCTTTCTTCTCCATCTTCTTCTTCTAGAAGTTTTTGAGTAACAGTAAGTGATTAGATAAAAAATACTGCAATGCAACACACAAGTGGTAAGTCATTGAGTCACTAAGAAAAGTAATTTATGTGTCTATTGTTAATTAGGTGAAAATAAGTATAAAGATAAAAGAGCTGTGTATTTCAAAGCCATTTTGTGCTTTTCAAGCCAACTTGAGCCAAGCAATAGTGAGCTAAACTCAAGCGAAAAGTCCGGGGACGACTGCCAAGTCTTTTGATATATATTAATACACATGAGAAACAAGAAGCAAATGAACCTTTAGAGAATCTTTCCTAAAACAAAACTGAAATAAAAAAAACTCCTCGTAAAAGAGTATCCCAAGAGAACACAGCCCCCAAAAAACCAAAATCCCACAGCAACAAGTAGTGCAACACCTTAGGTTGATCAACAGTAATCATAAAGAGTATTTCCAGAATCACACCTCAGTCCTGAGGCAGCTGCTTTACTGCTGGGCTTGAAATCCCATCCCAGGGGGAGTCACATGACTGAACTGCTCTCAATTTTGAGGACAAACATAAAATACCCTCTAATACTTATACTCCAACAGCCATTTAAAGCAACAAGCTGTGCCATAAAATGCTTGGGCACAAGAACCACATGCACTACAGAGAGGCCACTGACTCTCCTTATATTTAGAGAGTTTGGCAGGGAAATCCTGAAGAGTATTGCTGGGCAGTCAACAGCTCATAATGAACTTCCTGTGCTACACTCAAACTAAGTTACCTTCAAGGGAAACCACTGAAAAATCCCCCATGTTCAAATGACAGGTATAATTAAAGGCTCTCAAAATTACTGAGTGAGAATCCATAACAAACTGCTGGCAAAATTATGACACATACATAGTGGATACTCACTAGGACTCGCTCACTCATGTTCTGTCCAAAAACAAACTTGTTGCTAGATGCATCTGCACTGTTTGTAGAGCTCTCTACACTGAAAAAAAACCAAGAAATAATGCAGGTTTTACAAGACAGATAGTAATACCTCTTATTTTCTACTAATAAAATTTCTCAGAAAGTGAGTGTCGCTGGCTTTAGAAAAGTAAGCACTGGTTGGCACAAACATAGGCAAAAATTAACACCAGAGCACATCCTAGTTTTACAGAACAAGAATTCTCTCCAAATGACAGCAAATGATTTTGTCTCTGTAAAAATCTTCCCCTTCAGATAACTTATACAAAGCAATGTTGAATGCTAAGTGAAAGCTTATTGTCTAATCATATAACATACCTTTTTTTTAACAGTATTCTACATGTACAGACTTGAACTACTACACATTTTTAGGTCAATTCTCTCAGAAAGGGAAAGAACTGAAACAAAAGCACTTCCAATATCGTAACTGAAGCAAAGGTAGCAAAGGTAAGTAAGTAATGCCTTTTGTCACACTGCTGCAATACCACAGCCTCCCCAAGAAGTTTCACAATCAAATCTCAGCATTTACTTCTTCCTTATAGAATAAACATCCTCCTCCCACTAGTATTTTTATGAACAGGTTTTGAATCCTATTTAGGAAGGACAAGAGTTTTATTCTTTTACAGACTCAAAAGACTTAACAAGTTGGTTGATTGGTATGGTTGACTGATTGGTTGAAGGTATCCCATCGGGCATACCTTTCTAGAACACCAGCTTGCTCATAAAGTGAACACACAAAAGGCATTGTGAATCAAGCCTAAGTGCATTTCATCAAGTTTGGAAAATGGGGACTCACATGATCTACATGATTCAAGTGAAACCAAACAAACCTTTAAACTGTACATGTAGAGTTGCTACCTCTTATTAAGGAGATTGCTAGAATGAAGGAGATCCTCAGTGGAAGACAGCTTTACCTACTAACGGAATTAAATACCACAGTTCTGAGCTCCAAATATTGACAGGAAACTCAATGCGGCCAATCCCTACTAGCACATTTACAGTTTTTAAATAATTGACAGTGTTACACAAAGGGAGGAGTTTCCTTTTACAAGCTGATTACCATAATGCTTTGCCATCTCAGCTGAAAACCAGAGCCAACTCCCCTTAGAGATACTATTTTTTTAAAGACAAGTCCAAAAACAGGTTTATGGCAATTGACTCACCATGAATAAGTCCTCCCAAAGTAAAGACTCAAATGAAATGACAGTACATGTCACAAGTTGAAAAATATGAAAAAAATATTCCAGTATTTGAAGGCCACATAATAGTAGTTATTGTCTGCCAAATCTGACTGAACAAGTCTGACTCTGTCTATTGGAAAGATGTTGATCTGGCAACAAGAGGGCAAAGGTGTTCTCTTCCTCACCAGTGCAACATCTCAGAAGTTCAGCATCAAAAGTTCATTGACTGCAAAACTGCCTACTGCCTCCTTCATAGTGAACAGGACCTCAAAAATGCCAAATATAAGGACAAAGAAAGCATGTATCAGCACTTTTCCTATGATTATTTCATTGCTTCAATCTGACGACCAGCCTACTACAGGAGCAGAGATGTTGCTCTGCTTCATCACTCTTGGTGGGATTTTCCCTCACACTTTCTCAGTTACTACCTGACGTCAGAGCTGTGTCTTCTGTTTTCTCATTCTGTAAACTACTTCATTTTTTTGACCACTACTAAGCTAGCATTTTCAGAGAGCTGTATCACTACCTTAGCCTCAAGTGAAGGCTCTCAGCTCAGAGCTCATCACTACATAAGACAGGATTAGCAGTTTTCTCCTGACTGCCTCACTTTACCTACACATCACATTTCTTCTGAAGTTATTGCCTCATAAGAAGTTCTCCTAAAAACCTCCCACAGTTAGGCTCCTACTTATGCATACAGAGCACTCTGAAAAGCTTACTATCATGAAAAAAATTTAACTATTCTTCCTTTTTATCTGTATCATATATGCAACCTACTGAACAACACAAATACAGTACAGATCTCCACAAGATTCCACTGGTAGCTCAAATTTAGTCCATCACAGTTTCTATTCATTCATGAGAACACTTCTCATGTCATGCTTGTTGGTTTTCTGAAGTGGTTTTGGTGAGGATGTGGTCAAATAAATAGTATCAAATGCATCTCCCTTGATGAAATGATTGAGGATTCCCCCAGATCTGAAGACTGCCATCTCATTCTTCAGAAGCCTGGGTCCCCACAGACCCATTCTAAGCCCTGCATCCAATAAAGAGCAGAACCATAAAGAATGCTCAATAAAGATTAAGAAGAACTGTTCTATTGGTTTTCTTGTAGTCTCACCTGGAACCGATGTACTGTAGAAAATAGTTTGTTGCAGAAGGTATATCTGATGTCAGAAGACCAGCATTCTGCACATCAGTAGTTTCATCGCTTTCATCTCCTAGCTAGAAAAACAACAAGTATATATCAACAATTTTAATTACTGACCACAAATTTTTCAACTCATTCTTCCTAATGACAAAGTTTTATCCACAAATGCTTTCTACAATAAGACAAAGTAAGTCTATGGCCCAATATTACAATTTCTTTTATTATGCTAGGACATCTGTCTTTAACAGGAGATACTAACAATGCAATTCAGTTATTCTATGCAGAAGTTTGAGCCCAAGCTCAGCCTGTTTTTCCATCTTTTCTGTGAAGCCCTGGTTGCATGGGAACATCTTAGGACCACATTTCAACTTCATTCTAACCCAAAAGTTTTTGTAAGAGAAAACACCGCATTCTACTGAGCTTTAGCTGTTACTCATGATTGCAGTAGATGCACTTATTTTTGAAAAAGCTTCTTATGCTATTTATCAGAATTCATTTATTAAATGTCCAGAAGACTAGTTTTATTAAATAGTCAACACTACTGTGTTCATAGCTTTTAATTTTACATATATACATGGAGGTTTGGTTTTAACCTTTTCATATAGTAGCTTCACAGTACTTCATAAACACTTAGTCAAGAGAACAAATGTGTGCTTACCTTAACTCTATCTCTTAAATTTTGCCCAAAAACAAATGCTTGGTGTGCATTTAGTTCAGCCTTCTCACAGCTGTCATCATCTGAAGTATTGTTGGACTCCTTTTTCTGACATTGTGGTGCCTAAAGAAATAGAAAAATGTAGCCTAAGATACTGAGTTTCTTTAAATAAAAACACCTCATGACAAGGTGAGTCACACACTCATTTACAATGACAAGCCAGTAACACTTCCAGATCGACAAGGCATGTTTTGCATTTAAGTAATATCTCTGTTAAGTGTTTTTCTTAGCAAATCACAGAAGAGTTAAGGTTCAAAGGAATTTCTAAAAAACACTTGGTCCAAACTGTGTTCAAACTTACATTAGGCTGCCCAAGATCTCGTATCAAGTTTCAAAAAAATCCACATGACAGTTTTACATTTTGGTAGTCTGGGTAATGTTCAACAACACTAAGTATGATAGTTATGTCCTAAAACCCATCTGTAATCCTCTTCACACCACACCTGCAGTTTGATAGACACTTCATAATTTCATTCTAATCTTGCCACCACCTACCACTTGAGAGCTGAGGGGAACAATCCTATTCCCCTGCCCTAGTCCATGCATAACACTCCCAGCTTTTTCATTCTCTCATCACACATCTTATGCTCCAGCCACTAGTCCCCCGGTGATATTTAAGTGTCTTCCATGTACTTGTCAAACCCCAAACTATATATGGTATTCCTGATGCCATCCACCAGTGGCACAAAAAGAGGAAGATCAGTTTCCTGAACTTAATGGCTGCAGTTTTAGTAAAGGAGCCCGGAAGTCCTCTTAATCAATAAAAGAATACACTACATATTCATGTTCAATCTATTGTTCATCATTGCTGCACAGCACCTGAATGTTTCTGAATTTTTTGTTCTCCTAAGGACTTTCGATTCTGCACCTCTGCCACCTGCTTTCCACAAGTGCCTTCATGACATCTCCCTGCACATGGTGTGGTGGCACTTTTCCTGATTATTCCCATACAATAGTTCTTGTTCCACTATGCTCAGAGCCTTGCACTTACAAACCTCTAAAGCAGTGCTGGAAAGCAATTACAACCTGCATGGGACTCACTCCCTCCTGCATCTGTCCTAACTTCCTACCCTATCACTTTTGACACTGATGGGAAGACCCAACAACTATGCACACACAAATCCTCAAAAGTGACCCACATACAGCAGTTTCCCCTCAGCAAAGCACACTTCCATCAGCATCAACAGCACCATAAGCAGAAAAAAACCCAAAACCACAGGAAGTCTGAGCGTATTATGAAGAAAACTATAGTTACTATGGGAAGAGTATTAGGGGGTACCACCTGCTCCATTGGAGAGGACATTCAGAGGGAAGATGCCTGTCTAGGGAACCCATTACTAGTCTTTATGACTGGCCAACGTTAAGTTTTCCCTTTTTGATATTTTTTTATCTTTTTTACCCTTTTTGATCTCCCTTCCTCCAAAATAAAGTAACCGTCACCCTTAGAAGCAATACTATCGGCTATAGTTCTGCTAATGAATTTTGTATGTGAGAACTTCTCAACACCTTTCTTGCAGTATCACGATTTCCAAGACTTGTTTGCACAGCTGCTTCCTAGCCAGTCCCTCTTCAGTCCTTGTGACACATGGATCCTCTCACTCCAGAATTTTGCTGACCATCAGCTAGTTTTTCTCAGCTTCTTTTTCCAACCTGCTGAGATTGTGCTGAAGAGCACCTACGTTCCAACATGTTGACCATCTCCCCTTCCCACAATGTAGTAGCATCCACAAACTTGACAAGATTTATTCCACCTTGCCAGGTTGTTAGTGTGTATGTTGAACAGTCCTAAACAATCTCTAATGACTGACACTTGTCAGACTTCTAACTGCTGGCTGCTACCCTCAAAGCTCACCACTTCAGCCAATTTTTCATTCACTTTAAATTCTACCCAACCAGTACACCTCTCCATTTTGTCTACGGCAATGATACTTCACACCACACAAAGATCTTGCCTGAAGTCAAAATCAACAAGTAGGGCTCTCTGTAAAGCAAATAGTCTCAGAGGATAAAAAACCCATCAGCTTGGTCTCTGTTTTATCTATGCTGGTTGTTCTCAATCCCTTTAAGGTGCTTCATATCCTAGGACTACTTCACCCCAAAGGGAGAGGAAGGAGCTGAGCCATTTCTAATTTCTGTTGCAGTGTATTAAGATATATGGTATGTCCCTGAGGATGAACCCACCCTTGGATTTGTATAATGTTAGTCCCTTCCAAACCTCCCCCTCCCCTCCATTTGATCCTATTGGCTGTAAAATCTCCCCCCCTTATCTCCTTCCCGCCTGGTTTAGAAGAGAGTGCTAAAGACATTTCTATCTCTTTTCTCGCCCCGGGTGATTCATGTACAATAAACCCAGGACCACATCCTTCAAGACTGAGCCCCCTTTGTCTAAATACCCAAATTCATGCTGAATATATTATAGGATTCTGCCCCCCCATGGTCTGTGTAGGGTGGACACATCTCTAAGGGGGATGAGTATGAAGGGGGTCATATAATATTTACAGCAACTTTCCTGGAACCTTTTTCTCAAAGAAGTTACTTCTCCCCCAGTAACTGGTACCCACCACAGTACCACAACTCTCTGAGGAGAGGTAGTGGTCCCATACTAGCATCCCCCGGCTCCCTGTCTCGAGTTAATTTTCTTCTCAGTACAACACTGCATTTTGGATCCAGGATGAGAATAATCTTGAACACACACTGATATTTTGGTTGCGGCTCAGTTGTGCTCACCCCAAGTCAAAGACTTTTCAGTGTCTCATGCTCAGCCAGCAAGGAGCTGCACAAGAAGCTGGGGGGAGCACAGGTCAGACAGCTGACCCAAACTCTGCCCAGTGTGTGAACTGGGGGAGCTGCTGGTGAGGGGTTGATTGCTGCTGGGAGACAGGGTCAACACAGATCACTGGGTGCTGATTACCTATACTGGACATCACTTCTTTTCTTTCTGTTTTATCCGTCTCCCTCTCCTTTTCATTAAAATTATTAACATTATTGTACTTTACTCTTTTACTCTGAAACTCTAAGTTTCAACACTTAAATAACTGTTCTTATCTTAATCCACTACTTTTTCCCCGATTCTTCTCCCCATCCCACCTGAGTGGAGGGAGTGAACAAGTGGCTCCATGGTACTTAGCTGCCAGTTGGGGTTAAACTATGACTCTCCCTCCACACCCACGGATACATCCTATCTGGTGCCATGGACCTGTGTATGTCAAACTGTCTAAAACAGTCCTTAGGCAAATTTATTGTAATAATTCACTCCCTCAAACTTCCCCTAAAGAAGGGGACATGGTAGACCTGACAGCAGATCTCTTCAGTAGAAAACAAGACAAAGGCACTGAGTACCTCAGATTTTTTTCTTTTTTTTTTTTTCACCACTAGGTTCCCTTCAACATTTTGCAGAAGGCCTGCAATTTTCCTTCATTTTATGTTTGCTGCAAATACCAGTGGAAGCCTTGCTTGCAGCTTTTCATTCCCTGTCATTTCCAGCTCCAGACAAATTTGGGCTTTCACAGTTCTCCTACACATCCAGGCAATCCTTCTGTATATTTCTTGGGTGTCTTGACTGTTTCCGTTAGTTATTGCACATTCTCTTTCTGGATTTAAGGAGTTCCCAGCCCATACATGCCTGTCTTCTGCCACTCTTGCACAATTTCATGCACTTTGGAATAAATTATTCATTGTCTGAGGTGGTTGTCCATGGAGGTAATGAGCTCTCATAAGCCTTGAAGTCCTTCAGAATCCTACCAACCAGATCACTGAACAACCTGAAGTCTTTTCTCCTGAAGTCTTGTTCTTTATTCTGCTACTTATTAGTTCCTTCAGGATCTCAAACTCCATCTCATTGATGCTGCAATGACAGCAACTCTCAACCTTTGCATTTCTAGCCAGTTGCTTGCTGTGAATACCAGATACAGCTGAATACCTCCCATGTAAACCTACCCAGCATATGCAAATACTCTCATCAACTTATCCCTAAAATCTCCAGGAGTATTCTAGAGGATTTGTACCAGGACGTGTTGCCATTTTATTGGGTGTTCAAGTACTAAAGTTCTCCTTTAGAATCAAGGCCTGTAATTGTGAAGCTTCTAGTTCTTCAAGGGTGTTAGTTATTTTCTCTACTTGATCGGTTCAAGTCTGGTGAAGGTTCACTTTAATGTCCTTCTTGCTGGCTTCCCCTCTGATCTCAATCTATAAAGCCTTGACCAATTCATTGGCTTCCCAAAACAAAGCCTCTGCATTCAAACTTCAAGCTACTTTTAGCATACCAGAACCCACCCCTTAAGGTCTTTCCTGCTTTATTTCCTAAAAGGCCCTTAGGTATCTAAAGCAGCTGCCCAAGTAAACCTCCTGTATCCATGATCCCAATGAGGTTACAGAACCACCACTTAACACAGATTTCCAATTTCTTCTGTTAGTTTCTAATGCAGGGTGTTGTTGCCCCCATGTGCCAGCTATGGTACTTTCTGCACATATCATATAGGTCAGAGAAGGCAGTAGGAAAACACTAGATTAGGTCCAAGAGTTTCAAAAATCCCATTTTATGTGTGAGGGACAACCTTTGCATAACCTAACTGTATCATTTGCCTTCAGATTCTAATTCTGGCATTTGAAAGATGTTGTTTTTCTGCTTGCAATTAGAAATGGGCCAGCACTGATCACTGGGAGTAGTCCTTCACCACTGAATGATACATAGGGCATTCTATATATGCAGTATTCTATACAAGGAGCATTCTATTGAATGCAAGGAAACATCATTAGCCTAGGATTTCCTTCACAGGTCCTCTTCCCTCCGGATAAGGATCAGCATCTCCCTGCTACTGGGAAGGCTGAGGGCTGTCAAGTTTCCAATGATGACCTTCAGCCACCAGACTCTCCTACCAGTTGAGGATGGTTGGATCAAAGGCTGCAGCTTGTACCCACGTGAGGACAATGCTGCTTAGGGCTCCCATAGTTTCCTAGGGATTTTCAAGACAGAGACCAGATAGGTAGAAGTTGCCACAGAGCTGCTCAGGGTATGACAACCACCAGACTGAGACTGTTCCCACTCTGCTACCTTATATAAGCACAAGACACAAAGAAAAATCTTTTCTGACAGCAAAATAAGACCACGACTCACATCTGCTCTAACAAAGGCAGACCATGCTCATGTAATACTGCAAATAACACACTTGCCCTCACAAGGAAGCGCTCTCTCTGTGGTGCATCAAATCTATGCCACAGATCTGCATATACAATGCATATCCTATGAAACAGTTCCAGAAGTAATCTTTCACTCTCACCAAGCCATCTAATATTCTGCAGAGACTCCAGCATTTAACACAACTATTGCATGAACTCAAATGACTTCTAGCTGTGCTAGAAAGCTTCAGGGAGACAAAATTGACTGCTAATGCCAAGGCAGTAGAATATCTCCCCACAACACTTGGCAAAATTGCAAATGTTATGAAGTTATGAAGCTTTATATCATTTATACTGAACTTCCAGAAATCCTTACCAATCAGATTTAAGAGCTTTCCTCTACCAGAAAACTTTCTCCAAGGTTAGTTGATTAAAAAACTTAAGAGGACTTTAGGATGTTAAAAGCAGATAGAGGGTGTCCCAATGATACACACCTGGGTTACAAGCATGTCCCACAGTTTTCATACTGGTACACCCATTCAGTTTATTTATTGATACTTAGTTGTAGCAGTAGCTTTTCACTAAACCTTAAAAAGCCATTCACACTACACGTATTTCTGCTTGCATATTCAGGATTAAGACTTGAATTTCAAGTAAACTGTTCCATACTCTTGTCTTATCAATACTGTTTCTAGGCTCAGTATGGCAACAAAAAGCAAACAACTGCCTAATGAAGCTCAAAAAAAACCCAGTAACACTCAGAATCCCCAAACATCCTCCTCATACTATGAGTCAAGACCTTCAGGCGCTAATGGTTAGCTCAAAACCTGAAGAAAAGGACTGGACACACTACACAAAACTGGAAGTAAATACTTCATTACCTTTTTTTCATGATAGCAAATAAACAACTGAGATGTCTTATGACAAATAAAGATGTCTTTTGCCCTAGGTGAAGCTTCTCAGGCCCTCATTACCTGCACTGTCCTGTAGGGAATTCAAGTACTGCCACTGGCTTTTTACTCTGTCCAGAGAATATTTATGTCTGTCACCTTGAGTCTTCTTCTCCAACTCACCTTGTCTTCAGAGTTGGAACTTTTCAGTGTTGCATCACTTGGTGATTCTGATATGGCTGCAGAATCTGGGGGGATATTTACACCATTGGTGCCACTGCTGAGAACTGTAACACAGAAATAAATAAAAAAATACGCAAACTCTCTAGATATTTAGACTGTCATAAAATCTTTCTTATGCAAATTGCATGCAGTTTTCTTGTTTAAGTCCATTAAACACTGCAATGTCAACTAAAAGGTTCCCATGCAAAAGATGTAACAACCACAATTCAGCAATTCTTAGCAGAATCAGAATTCCAAATGAAGGAAATCAAGTCAGCAAATTAATCTATACAAACGTTGTATGGACTTCAATACATACAACTTCAAGCAATCATCCTGCTCCAATCTAATACTGTTCACAGCCAGCAGGGTTTTTCTTCAGACTGATCTATCCGCTCATATACTGAAGTCCCACTGAAAATTTTTACCCCAATACCAAGTCCTCTGTAGAGTCAAATCTGTATCAGGAGGTACGTCAAGAAATCAAGACACAAATGCTTGGTTCTATGCCAGATTCTGCATTATCTGAAGTTACTCCTGTTTCTGTTCAACTAAACTTCCACATAACAAATGGCATCGGGCTGGGGAAACATGAGGTTTAGGAGACAGGGACACCTTAAACAGTTTTTTGCATTAACTTCCACACTTTAATCATATCTATTTCCATCAGATATATAAAATTCTGTAATTCCATTATGCAATAAACATTATATGAATGACCAAACTTAAGAACTAAAATTCTATGTTCAGAATTAAAATTGTACTTCGAAGTCCCATCTCCAAAACAGTCCCCAAACCCGGAGGCACCTCTCACTGACTCTTACTGTTGATCAATTACCAGCAATAGCTTATTACACCACGGTTAGTGCTGTCATTTGAGACTGACATACCACACTCTTAAAAGTCTTTTTATTTTCCAAAACTCAGGCATGGACTACACCAAAGTTAGAGGCCCACCAACATCAGACACTCACCCTACACAAGACCTGAAGGTTCCACTGTGTTATCCTTCATGTAATACAGACAGACTTACCATTTAAGATGTTTCTTTTCTGAAAGGAGAAAACTAGAAAAACCAAGGTGGGTATTGAGTAAAACCAAACCACCACACTAAACAAATTCAATATTTTTGTTCTCTCTCTAGTGCATTTAGAATGCAAAAACATTATTTACCCATCTGTGAGAAAGCTTTTGGCTGTGGTGCCTGTAACACTGCTGGACGGAGCACACTTCGCTGCTGTTCCTTCGGTTTCTGGCTAGGGAGACCTGCAAGTGCGAAGTTTTTTTCAAGTATAAAGCTTTAAAGTTGGAAAATTCAGCTTCACCTAATCTTCTCTAACTGCTTCCAACAGAATATACTTTGAAAAAAACAGACACTAGAAAAGCTTCTACTCTCTTCTTTTCCATCCCTCATTACTCAGCCTCAAAAGTAAGTTCATCCCAAACAGGGAAGACAATTTCCTAGCCTAAAAAGACACTTTAAAATATATTGTCTACCTTATCCAGTAAAGCACAGAACTGAAGTTTACTACTGATACAGAAATGTATGTAAGAGAAATGAACAGGACAACACTAATCCTATTTATGCACTAACATTTTAATCAACTACACACTCCAAGTCTTCTTTTCTCCTTCCAATAAAGTAGTTTTCAGATAGTAAAAGATTCTATTTTTTTTTAATCCATACAATCAAACATATTGGTACTGTAACAATTGTGTTGTGTAATTTAACAACCTTTTGGCTTTTTGAATTAACATGGCCTCTTTGGCTGTTATAGTAAGATACACAGCACTACAACTCTAATTATGCTATGATTCAAGAAGGTAATTAACCTTAAACAACCTAATAAAAAAAAACCCAAACATTGTAACATCAACTCTAGAAGGCTATGGCAAGCCCAGAAGATTCAGTTTTCTCCACTGAAAATAGTCAAGATGAACTCTTGATCCAATAAAATACTGCAAGAGAACTCACTTATAGCAATTAGTTCCATTTCAGGTCACCCATATTCAAAGGGCACGACATCCTAAGTCCAAAATGTTCGTAAGCTCAGAACAGCTTGGTTCCTTCTTAAATTTACCCTTCTGCCTTCAAGTGAAATGAAGTTTCCACACAGTTATGCAATAATAGCTTTCATTACCCAAATAGTTTTGGGTTTGGTTTTTTTTCCCCACTCAAATTCCTAAGGAGCTTTAATACTAATATCTTTCTGATAGTGGCTAGGTCTACATCACAAAACAGGAAACTCAGTCATAGCCAACCTGTAGTGCAGAACAGGCATCATCAAGGACCCGCCACCTACACTGCCACCAAAAGCAGAAGTAGGCACTCTCTGACACTTCCAACTGCCCTGGTCTGGTCCCAGACTGAACACTCAATAATAGCTGGAACTTTCTCAAGGCACTCCTGGAACATCCTTTTTCTTACAGTTTGCTACCAAAGGAATTGAATTCACTGTCTGTAGGATTACACCAAGCACAAACAGAAGCTTGCTAAGCAGTGACAGCTGGGAGATGCATTTCAGACATGCACAGCTGATCCAACGCAAAACACAGATGTGTCCATATGCATTACACAGTGGGTATGGGCACAACCACCCTAGAGAAGATTTTTTTTTCTGCAGACAAATAGGTATTGCCACCTTCTATTTACAATAGCCAATTTATGAAACTTCTAACTAAATAAAATGCTTGAGCTGGTTTCTTTGTACTGTTGCAGTTAACAGTGAACTCACCTGCACTAGGTGCCTGACCATGGATAAGTATTGGTGGCTTAAGCCGGAATCCACTGCTCTTTTCCTCTGGAAGTGAAATACAAAATTACAAGGACAAAGCCATTACATATTAGCAATATCCATTCAGTCATAAATTCCTCATGTTTTCCCCACTGTAACAACCCACAAGTTCTATAAATACACAAAGTTATTAGGAGATTTCCAAATTCTCTTCTGAAAGAAACCAGAATTTCCAGTGATCATCACAGCAAATATACATCACAGACAAACACATGGTGTCACAACCAAAAAGTTGAGAAGTTTTTCAGGAGAAACAGGAAAAAGACTGTTCACCAGAGAAATGGGGCTCGTCCTGTGAAGAACTTGATATAGACAATAAAGGTTTTAAGTGAGAATCAAACTAAAGAAAGAACAGTCAAAATTATAACTGAACATGACAGCTGCTAACAAGTATCTAACTGCTAATTATCATAAATTAAGCTAAACTTAATTGCTTAATGACAGTTTCTTGTAATAATAAGCTTTTACTCATGCTTTTATAATATGAAGATAAAAGAAATTCCTTTGCTGACACTCACTAGTTATGGTTTTTTAATTAACTACCAAAACCTCAAAAAAAAATTATAAATCTACAGCTATTAAAAATTGAGTTCCTAAGAACTTACAAAGAATAATTATACTTTTTTCTTTTTAGGGGCTTAGTATCTGTACTCGGAATAAGACAATTCAACATCTCACAGTCTCACTGTTTGTGATCAGCATATGATACTGATGTGTGCTACAGTGATACCAACACAACCAAACCAGAACTACAGAGACTAACAAAATTGTCAGTTCTGTCAACACAGGGCTCACAGGTCATAGCTGAACACAATCATGGCCATAGCTTATGGTTGTTTAGCTTTCCAATATAAAAGAACAGTTTTCCAAAGCAGATACATGAGAATTTCCCAAAGGTTTTATCATGAGGCTAGCAGGAAAGGGTCACAATGCAATATTATACCATCACTCCCAACACATTTAACAATTTTGATTTTAATTACTTCCAGCAAGGGTGAAGTCAAACAATGAAGTGAGCAAGAGAACAGCTCTAAGATCAGAACCATCATCACTTCCATTCTCACAAATAGGGTCTTACTTCTGAAGTATCTGAGTACTTTGGATCATGACAAATTAACAACAGTTCAAGAAAACAGAAGAAAAATTAGGAAGCTCACCTGGTTCTGAGTCAGAATTGCCTGTAGAGGGTTCACAGAAACTTGACGGCATAAAGACATTGTTCTTTGTTACTGCAGTAAAGGAAAAAGAAAAAAAAAAGGGAAGTTGTGTATGTTGCTCTTTATTCCAAAACTGTTCCCAGACTCCAAACAGAAAATTACTTTTCTAGTAATTTGTTTTATTTTAGTTTTGTTTCTTCTAAACTAAAACAGTATTACAGATAGACAAAGTAGCAAACCATTGTCCATAAAATCTTCTCAGTGTCTCCTGAAACAGAGAAAAAATAAATATAATTTTTTCTGAATCCTGTATAAATATAGGATTCCCAATCTGACTTGTATCTGAATTAGGAATTAGAAGTGGTGTTCAAATATATAATAGCATTGCAAAATGTATAATACCATTTCAAAAGGCCCCTGCAGAGAGAGAGCAGAAAGGTGTGTAATGCCTGCTAGAGAGTACGAGTGAACATCTGGGCTCAATGGACCATACTGTTTGCACCAAGAAGCAACTTGAACTACTAGGTTTGAACTACTCTGCAAAGACAAAACTCCTACAGAAACAAAGAAGAGCACATCAGAATATTGTCAGATGTCACTTCAGCATCATTATAGTAAACAAAAGGGAAAAAATGTTTGAAAAAACAGGCAAAGGACAGTGTTTCTTTTCCACCCTTTGATGGGACCTAAAGAAGCAAGCAATAGGGAGTTTGGTTGATTCCCTGTTCAGCATTTTTGGTGTTATACAAAGTCACACTCTAGTTTATGAAACAGGGCAACCAGAGAAGGAGACAGATTCCTCCAACAGATCATTCTGCATGAAGAAAGGCAAAACAATATTTATTGGTTCTTTTAGCTTTTATAAGGCTGTAGAAAAAGATTAAGTATGTTGAAAAGAGAAATGAAGCTCATCTCTGAACACCACTGTACTAAAAGATGTGGCATTTGCCTTTTATAATTAAGGCTTAAATATTTTTTTCATATTTCCTTTAATTCCACCTTCTCTCTTTTTATTATTGTCTGCCTTTAGCTTAAAGACAACACAGTTTTCATATCAGTAAAATTTCCCTATTCTTGAGAGAATCGTAATTCCACCAAATTCTCACATCACAAATCAGAAAAAAGCCGATGAGGCTTTTCAGCCTTTTCAAGAGCAAAGCATGATTGTCCTAAGTTTATATAGCAGTGATAGTAAAAGTCTAGGGGTGGAAAGTAGTGAATTTTTGTTTCTTCTTTTCTGTCAATTTATTAGTTTTATTGTTTTAAGTTGTATATTAAATATATGTAGGTGTTCACAAGTTGAAGGGGTGGAATGTCATGGGGTGACTTTACCTTTAAGATAGTTTTGAGAGCTAAGAAAGTTGAAGCTGCTGGTGACTGATGGGAGTCTTTTCTCCTGACCAATTATCGGTCATTTCTAAGAACTGACAGCAGTTTTGACCACTGAAAAGTGAGATCAACTTGTGAACACCCCCTTAAGATGTAAAGCCAGAGCTCTCTTGCGCTCTTTTGTGTTTCCGGCTTCTGCCAAGGTAACAAGGCTCTGTCTCGGCCTCCTCCCCCTGCTCCAGGCCGGACAAGGCCGCGGGGGTGGGGGCCGGGGGGGGAGAGAGAAACTGAGCCAGACAGCTTGGCTTAGTTTGTAATTCCTGCTGCTGGATTGAAACCTGACACTATAAACATCTGCAGCTTTCCCAAGACTTTAATTCTTTTACTGCCTAGATAAAATGTACAGATTACTCCTTTTTTCCTGAGAGACAGAGAGAGAGAGACAATCAACATGAAAAAGACAGTGAAGAAAAGAGTTAAGTTTTAAATAGGAAAGAGAGAATAAGGAGATGCTTTTTAAGCTGAAATATTTTTCTGTTAAAGCTATAGAGATGGACAATAGTGTTTTGAAAAAACTCCTTTAATTCATAACAGAGTATATTGGGAGGAATGGAGTGTTCAAAGTGTGAATTTTGAGCAAAAGAGAGTAATTGTGATACAGTGAGTTGCTGGAACTGAGTGGAGCGAAAATTTGAGGCCTTGAGGGCAATGAGAAAACTGTTTCCCAGCGAAGCTCACAGAGACAGATGAAGAGAACTTTTGCCTTTGAATAACTCATCCTTAAAATGACATCCATCCCTAGACTCATTGACCCATACACACCTCAGAGTGATGTGAAATGGGAGGAGTGAACTGATGACAGGATTTCCAGGCAGCTGGCATCAGAGAAATAAAAAACTATAACAGAAATAGTTTTCTTGTGAGAAACTCCATAAATTAGCAGAAGACGACTTCTGTTTCTCTACAAAGACTGAAATGACTCTAGCAAGAATTGAGACTGAAAAGACTCTAGATGAAAAGACTCTAGCAAGAATTGAGACTGTTTTAAACACCAAAGTTCCAAAGTTTTTTGTCTCTATGTGGTCACGTGTACAGGAGAATGGTTGGGTAGTAGGGGATAAAAGGGTTTTCTGGAAGTTTATTCTGGTGTTCTTAGTCTTGTAGTTTTGTTAATAAACTTTCTTTATTTCCTTTTAAGTTTTAAGCCTGTTTTGCTCTTGTTCTAATCCATATCTCACAGCAAGAAATACGTATTTTTTTTAGTTACTGCTTTAAAATCACAACATTTACTTGGTGCGTTGGCCGGGAAAACAAAATTGGCAAATCTAAACCACTACAACAAATAGAAAGAAAAAAGAAAAAAAAGGGGTGGGAAACTAAAAGATTTTTGGGGAAACCAAAGCATTGACTAATGTCAACAATATTCAAAGAGGTTGTTATGGAAGTTGCAATTCAAATCAAAGTTGTCACTGCTTGACAACAACACACATCAGAAGAGAATAAAGACATCAGGGAATAAATTACCACATCCTCTCAAAATACATTAGCTAAGCAGAGGCTTGAGGAGAAAGGATACTGGACTCCTGGAACATCCAGTATTTAACCATGAAAGAGTTGAGTAAATTGTTTTCCTCCGCTTCTTAAGAGATGCTAGCATAGAGATTCTAATCTTATAAGGCAAAGACATTGCAGTATGGAAGTGTTAGAGATTATGGGGAACCTGGGTATACACATACTGTTATTCTAAAAGAAAACCTACAAAACCCCATATTCATTATTTTTGTACATTCCTTTACTAAGAGGGGTTGGCAAGCAGACAGCAATGCTGGTCATTCAATTCACAGGATGGCATCTGGAGACCTACAGAGCTGCACACCAGAAAACTGTGATCTGAAAGAGAAGGGATTCTTCCCCTAACTAGAACTGGTGCATGAATTTAGAATACTGTGCCCATAAAGTATCAGCAACTACATTTTAGATTTCAGAGTAATTTATTTCCTTAAAATTAAAATCAAAACTAGGCTTTCATCTTCTAGTCACATCTCCAGAATGCGCTGCATTATGAGAGGAGTATTTTTTTACTGTTCTCTCCTTCAAAGTTTTTCATCCCCTTTATTTCAACTTAAGATAGTAGAAATAAAGTAGCAGTCTTGAAATCTGCCTCAAACAGTGACATAACTAAAATAACCATTGACCAAAGCTAAAACCTTCATACGATCTGTGAGGAGAGATGGCACAAATCAAGACTGTTCCTGTGAGTGAACAAATATCAAACATGACCATTCCCATGCAAGAGAACTGCATAAATTTACTCCAGTGATTTCACTGCCATGACTGTGCACACACACAGGCTGTGCTCATTCTCTCTTGTGTATGTCAGGTGTTTAAGAAATGCATTGGATCATCCCCATTTTAAAATGAAATGGAGAAGAGAAAAGGACTAAAACACAAGCTGAGAGTTGAAAAATTTCCCTGGCAGCACAGTAACTAAGAAAAGGTAGCAGTTATATAAATTTAGAAAGAAGCACCCTGATCACAACAAATCAAGAAGATTTCTGATTCTGCAATTTAACAGCACAAAATAAAAGCTGAAACTACAAACATGTATAAAATTACAGATAGAAAACATTTTTAAAAAGTTATCTATCAACTCCTTTGGGCTTCACCAAATTTGCTAACATGAGTACATGGGTTGCTGTGGTCTTAAACCAAAGCACAGCAAACAGTAATAAGACTGCTTACATGACTGGAAAAAGAATATCTAGGAAGGAAAACAATCCCTCATATATAATACTGTAGAAACATTTACCTGACTGAGAAGGAGGGAACTGAGTCAACGATGAAGTTCTCTCACGTTTTACAGGTGGACAGTAACTTCCATCCTCTCGATCAGATTCTATAGAAAAACAATTATTAGAGAAAACATAGAACATCCCAGCAAGACACACACTCGTGGCTTTTAATTTTACAATAAAATCTCTTACCATCTCCATCTTCTGGACTTGATCCATCTCCAGATCTCTGAAATCAGATTACACTGATCAAACAAAGATCACATAGTGAACATTTCAGTCTCTTCAGTTTGATTCAAATGTTTTAAGTATCAGTTAGGAGATTTTTCTTTACTGTCAATGATACACACTCAATGCAATAATCTTCTGTGACTTATGTGTGGGCATAGAGCTTCACACAGATACTATCAAATACAATTAATTCAAAATATTTCATTTTTAAGTAAGATTCCTGAAAATTCATATCCCAAGCACAAATATCTTTAGGGACTGTGTAACAATTACTACAGTTACATTTTCTATATACTGAAAAATTGAAATTTTTTTAAAGTGGTTTAATTTTTAAAATATAAAGTTTCAAGCTCAACATAAATATACCCATTATTTGGGAGTTCACTTCAAAGCACTTTACCTAATTACTCTCAGTGACTTTAGTTCCTTCAACGAAATCATAGCATTGGAGGAATGTCTTTCAAAGCATGCTCTATTAAACTAGTACAACAGTATTTTTATTGCAATTAGCATTGGATAGTCCCCTAACATCTTCCACAGTACCAAGAACAAAAAAGGAAGCATCACAGGCTACCAACTATCATAGATATTCAAAAAGTCTTCAAGCAAAGGTTTTACATATCTTCTGAAGATTTCTATGGCTCTTTCCTCCTATTTCTCTGCCAGTTCCTCAACCAATATAATCTCCCTTGCTCCTCCCACAAAATAACCCCGTGACAGACTCCTTTCACTATGGAAGGTGATCAGGGCTGCATCAGCATCTTCATCTCATTACAAAACATCTTAGAATAATTGAATTGCTTAGGTTAGCAAGAACCTTTAAGATCGCCAAGTCTAAGAGATCCCTCAGAACTCTTTTGCCATGCCCAATGCCAAAACATATCCACAAGTGCCATATCCACCCGTGTTACAAATCCATGCAGGGATGATGGCTCCACCACTGCCGTGGGCAGCCTGTTCAAGGGCTGCACAAACCTTTTGTGGAACACGCTTCTACTAATATCCAATCTAAATATTCAACTTGAGTGCAACTTGAGGCCATTTCCTCTTGTCCTGTACCTTGTTACCTGGAAGAACAGACCAACCTGCACCTTGGCTACACCATTCTTTCAGACAGCTCTGACATATTGGACCATCTACCAAGTCCAACACTACCCTTTCATCCCACTCCTGCCCCAGGACATGCAGACAGACACCTCCCGTTCACTCAATCTCACTTCAGATATTGGCTGATATATGGAGGAATGGCAGCTCATGGGCAGAGCCTACTGATACCCCAAAACTCCTTCCCTGACATGATTCAGCCCACTAGGGCACTGAGAGCAGGCAGACACACAAGGACTGTACACATCTGCACAGGACTGGTATTTGAGGCATACCTTGGGTGTAAGAATACCAGAAAGTACAAAACTTTCTATTTCGCATTGCATACATTTAGAACCCAGAAATTACTATACTATCAGTACTCTGTCGCATTATATCAGGAACGGCAAGAAGTATGACACACTGACTCTCTGGCTGGGCTGTCCAAGAGAGCAAATTTTATTATCCTTGATCTTCATTTATAGACAGGTCCAAGAAAGTCCGAGAAGCAAAACTCTCATTGGTCATTAAACTTATACATCACCATCATTGGTCAAGTGGAACACCACCCCTTGACTGTTTCTTGGAAGTAAACAACAAGGATCTAAACAACACCTGCAAAAGGTTGTTGTCTTTCTCCAAGGTCTGTTTGGATTCCTCCTTATGCTTTCTCAGGCCAGAGTGAGAACCTTGTGTGACTTAGTTTCACACAGACACTGTGCTCCCTGCTTGCATTTAGCATCCACAAGTACACCATTCAATGCTAATAAAAACCCACTTACACTGCACTTGCCTATTTAATTACCTTTAAGAGCTTTTCTGTTGTGTTTTATGTTCATAGAGAAGTACAGCTACCTCACTAGCACCCTAGTTGAGTATCTCTGAAACCTTTAGCATTGGAAATAAGAAGCTACTAATAGGTCTGGAACACAACTCCCTGCATTCACACACACCTATCGGCCCAGCCATGTTAATGCTGCATTTGATGATCCATGGCTCTTCCTACAAAATTAGGCAGGTAGTCCATGGTACTACAAGAAGGTGGTCTTATTAGTCACCGCCCTTGTCAACAGACAATACTTTCTCAAAAGATGAGGCTAAAATGGAAAACCATGCTATCATGTATCTCAGCAACCAGCATCTGAACTCAGAAAAGATTCCATTCTGCACATAAAGTGTTGTCACCTATACAAACAATTTGTTTCCACTTTTATCAAAAATCCTAAAAGCAAAAAGAAAATACTTGGTAAAAAATTTGCATGAGTGGAACTGCAGATCTCTATATGCAAAAATCCTTAAAAATAAACAAGTGATTTCCACCTGAATGTCAAAAACTTAAGATGTTACTAATATGCTTCATTCTCAATGCTCAAGTAACACATACAAAAAAATCAAACCTATATAGCGCAAGCCTCAAATCATCTTACCATTGTAATTTCGTAACTGACAAGCACAACTACTGTACCATCACCATGTTTAGTGGGTAACAGGCATCAATAACCAAAACCAACTCTGTACCCTACTGAGTGCAAAGCAGAACAGAAAATCTGCTCAGAGTTATTTCCATGCTTCCTAGCCCAAGAGTTTTCAGAGATTAAAGCTATGTAGCTTTGGACAAATAGATGCCAGGTAGATTCCAAGGGGGTGGGGGTACATAGATCTACTGTACTACCCTAAGCTTCACTTTTCTATGAAGCCACAGATAAAGTCACCACTGCAGCCAGAATTGCATACCAGTGCTGCTTCAAAGGAAGCTGGGTAGACTAGACAGAAAACAGGGGTACATATGCATGACAAGCCTGACAGACTGGAAAAACAGCAAATTACATTTAGTGACAATGAACAGCAGTAGGCCTCACCATTTTAGCTTCTCAACCTACTCAGTGTACTTTACAGCCACACCTGCTTTACACAAGTACCCCACACAATGGAAACAAAAGGCAGGACCATCTCATCCTGTAAGAAACCACCAAGGTAATTAAATTTATCTCCATTCAGGTCTTTGGACTTAGATGCTGATGAAACACAAACTGGTAACAGCAAAATCCAACTCAGAATTTTCTTATTTAAGAGCAGAAGCAACTTTTCACTTATTCCCTCTGCCCCTGCTTTTCAGAAATCCAGCTAGAGAAAAGTTACATTTATGCATAAACAAAGGTTCTTACAATTATTACACATTTCTAGTTAAGGAAATTAGCTTCCTAAAGGCTACCAACTGCTTTTCAAAAGTCTAAGTCACAGTAATTAACTAAATAGAAACATTAATTCCTCACATAATGGTTACATCAAGCTAAGAGAAGAACTTCAAAACTTCAACAAATTTGTCCGTTTTTACTTATTCACATTAGTGAACAGAAACAGGGACAGAAAGGGGGAATTTCGGTAAAGCAGAAAAGGTCAGTGTAATTCAGGGAAAGATCTAAGGGTATGCTTCTAGTGTTTATCTTTGAAAATGCATTTTAAGATGCAAAAAGTCATGTATAAAGGATTTCAGAGCACAGTAAAGCAAGTCTTCAGTCCAGACACTCTGCACATACACAGACATTATTGAACTGCCATGATTTGCTTAAAAGCTCTTCCAGAACCTCTTAATCAGCAGAGTTTTGCTGGGACAGCCACATGCTGTGGGAGGCTGGTGTGGGTTGCCAAAGAGTTAGGACATAACCATCAGCTCTGCAAGGGGCTCTATCTATGGCCACACTAAATTCATGTCATGTCAAAAATATATGCCAGTGTGTGTATAAACAAGTAAACAAGAAATATGCAGTGTCTCTTCTTCTGTCTTAACTCATTCATTTTCGCAGGACCTGGGAAGACTGCATGAAAACTGCTGCTCCAACAAACCAGTACAAGTACTCTTAAGATGCATCAACCTTCTCTAGATTTCAAGGTAAGGGATGGTTTTACTGTAAGACACTGGGATAATCTGAAGAGTACTTGCTAGTGCATGCCAGTTATATGTCCATACTGAGCACCACGCAATTTGGTACATTTAATTTAATGGAATCAAGAAGAATACTGAAACAGCTTTCTGTACAGCCACTAATTTCTGCATATGATCCCCAACAACATTTGTGGGTTTTAAATTTCTTTCAGAACTGAGTTCACTGGGTAAGATTTTCTGCTCTCTAAAAACAAGATGAAGATTAGGGTTAGGGTTGCTGCTGTGTTCCTGAAAGTCTCCACCATTCTCTTGGACAGTTCTAGTAACACTGCAATTTCATATGACAGAAAACTGAGATAAAAGACTGCGATCATGTTTGATAGGAACGATGTGTAATAACACCATAGAAGGTATGGGTGTTAACATCTTTGAAATAGGTCTTAAGGCCTCTACTAACTTCAATCAGCAGTTTTGTAACAGAGCCTAGGCAGCCTGACTCCGCAAATAGACAAGAGGGGGACTCTGAAAAAGCCTGAACTTCTGAACTTTGGGGTAAAATGCGAGGTTCAAGGAGGGATACAGGGTAGGCGGTTCAGGAAGACTGCACCTTCCTAGTACCTCAACCAATGGGATAAGGAAGAGAGCAAGGTGCGGTGCAGGATAAAAAGAGGCTGCACCCTCTGAAGCCTCAAGAGTGAAAACCTGCTGGGGGCGTGTGGCCTAGTAGACTCTCTCCCTTTATTTGAATAAAGTTGCAGGACTCCTGTGTCTCCTTCATGGACACTGGTTTTTTATAGTGTGATCTTCCACACATGTTTACCAGCTATATTTTAAAATATTACGCCTTGAAAATCTTATCCTTCAGAAAAGAAACTAAAAGATTTCAGCACGTAATCAAGTACCAGTCTGAACACTGAGAGGTGCTTAACCTACAGCTATTAGCACCTTGTCATAACAATCCATTCAGTACTGGGTTTACTTGAAATGGACCTTATTCTTGTACAAAAAAAACCCAAATCAACCAGTGCAAG